GCTTCTGCCCTGTAGAGGTTGGATGTGCTGTCCCAACAACTCCATGAGGCTGTGATTGCCCTTCCTGATTCAGCTCCTTGGGCATTCACGGGGACTGGAGGCATTGACTCCCCGTGTGTGGGATGGCAGAATGAGTAGCTGGTTCCAAAATTAAAAGATTTCTGCCCTCACAGCAGAAAGAGGCAGCAGAGTTTCTGGCAGGAGGTATCCAGCCTGCATCGTGCCTCTTGGTAACCCCTGCTCTTGCACAACCCTGAGCACTCACTGGGGGCTGACAGGATCCATTTCCTTCCAGCCCTGTCTGGGAGCTCTGAGCTCCTGCTGTGCCCAGCTGCCATGGCTGTGACGTGGGGACAGTCTCTGTGGCACTCTGGGGACACAATGCTGAGTCACTGTCATACCTCACTGGCTGCAGCATGAGCATCACTTGGGGACAGAGAGGAGCCAGCACAGTGGCTGTCACCTGTCACCTGTAGCTGTAACTGGTACCTTGAACACCGAGATGTGAAACAGAGTTTAGAAGGTGATCAGCTCGTGTCTCCTGTGTCCAAAAGACCAGCTTGGTTTCTGTGTGGTTCTCTCTGCAGACCAGTGACCCCCCCCTCGTGTCAGCCCTCCTGACTGTGAAAGGTGACATCACAGAATCCTACCGAGTCCTGCTCATGGCAAGAGTTGTGTCTGCAGCTGCTCCCACTGGCTGAGGGATCCAGCCAAATGGAAAGAAAATGGAAGTTCCATTAGTGGGAGATCTCTGGATCTCTGCTGGAACATGGGGAGATTTTGAGGTTGCTGCAAATAAGTGAGGGCAGAAGGGATGTGGGAAGGAAGGGCTGTGTGACATTTCTGCTCTCTTTCACCCAAAGTTCTCTGTAAACTCTGGTGCCAGTGGCTTCACTTTCCAGCTGACTCTGTGACAATAATCTTGTGTTAGAAGAAATAATTACTGAGGACCCCAAGCAGCTATATCTGCTGTTAATCCCATGTCTCCCAAAGGTGGGCATTCCATCAGGATTTACATCCACATTGTTGAGTTTCTACCTTTATCCAATTTCAGATGCTTTTTGCATCTGAAAAGGTTTGGAAAAGCCTTAACTTTTTCTAAGACTAGAATAAAGTTTCTTATTCAAGCCTCCTCCAACTCATTTGGGGAGTCACTTTTACAATGTACAGTCAAATCTGCCTGCTGACATGTGCTCAAGGGGGAATATTCCTGTGCTGTTCCCTGGATCTGGGCAGACACTTGCCAGAGATCCTGGCTGTCCAGGAACTTTGTATTTCTGTATTTGCTTTCTGCTGAATTCTGGGTGAGAGCAGCATCCTGCTGTTTTGGGGAAACCAGAGTGCCCTGCAGGTGGAACTTGTGTCAGGAAGCAGCAGCTGGTTCAGGGCAAGTGCAGAGCTGGAGAATGGAGGGAGCAGGAAGGCAGCAGCCATTAGACACAGGATAATCCTGTGCATCTCTTATCACACTCTTTCCTGAGTCACAGGCAGCCTGTGGCAAAGTTCCCTCCCCACCACTCCGAGGGCGTGCTGCCCTTTGGCCCCTGGAGCTGTTAAATCCCTGACTCAGATGATGCAATCAGAAAATAGAAACATTATTGGTAAATATCCCTGTGGTAACGAGCTGGGAACTGCAGGAACAAGCAGGGAAGCATTTGTCATAAGGAACATTTTAACCAGGCTCCCCCTTTGACAGAGGAGGTTTGTGGGAGTGAAGAGGGGGTTCCTTGTTTTTCCAGCCAGTGTTTGATCCATTGAGATGTGTTCTCATTTAATAATGGATCGAGTGCCTGTGGAGTCACTTAACTCTTCAGTCTAAAGACTGCAGATGCTGAAGCTGTCCCAGTGTCCTGGGCTGGGGAGGAGCTGGGGGTGGCAGTGGCAGTGCCAGCCAGGGACAGCTCTGCCTTCCTTGGAGGCCCTGGGTGTTGCTGCTGGCACAGCTGGGCCTGGAGCTGGGCACAAAATGGGCTTTGTGTGCTGGCTCCCTGCAGCCCCAAAAGGGTGAGTAAATACCACTGCACTCACTAAAACCGCTGCACACAGCTCTGCTCACTCAGCAGGGACCTCATGGCAGGGCAGTTGTCAGTAAGCAAAGCAGGCACAGCTTGTGGGAGTGGAGGAGCTACTTCAGGCACTGCATTTGTGGGCACCCATTGTGTGAGGATCCTTCAGATTTCACTCCTGGAAACCAGAAAGTGATGGCTGACAACAGATCAGTCTCCAGACTCTGGTTATGATAACCATACAGAGTGCTGAAAATAACTGTTACATTATCTACCAGGAAACAACACCCCTGTCTAAGGAATCTTCCACTTCTCACAGGTCAGGCACTGAGAAAAAGCATCCAGAGGATGAAAAGAAGTAAAAAATCTAAGAATGATGTAAAGACAGTGACATTGGTGCACTCACAGGGTTAGGCTGAGTAAGGAGCAGCTGCCACCAAGCAGCTGAAGGCACCAGTGGTACCCAGCAGCTGCAGGTGAGCAGGGGTGTCACCCACTGCACATTCCTGGGGCTGGAGAGCTTGGATCAATATTTTCACAGGATTGAAGTGAACAGAAGGTTCTGGGTTTCTCTGGTCAAAGTCTCCACGTTTAAAATTCAGTATGTGTTTGTTCTCTCGGGGGAGGGTTGGACCAGGATAACAGGTGGTTATTTCTGGAGGACTGAAAATAAAGTAAACTCTCCCTGTAAACTCCAGCTGACATTCTGTAAAGCACTTATGGAAATCTGAACAGGTTTTAGTTCCTTTCATAAGAGAAAAGCCTGGTATTTTAGATGGGCCTCAAAAGTGATTGTGTTTGTCTTCTTGGGGGCACAATGACTGCTCAGGATTGGGTTTCCCTCTCTTGGATTGCTTTGTTCTTTGGGGACACAGAGTGTGAAGTGCCAACTCTCACATGGGGCAGCACTCGGGCAATGAGACACAGGCTGATGTGGAAGGGAAAACAAATTATCTGATGTGGAAAAGCAGAACACTTGGGAATGTGTGCAGACTGTGCTGCTTCACCTGGGACACTACTACAGCTTCAAAAGCAAAAGCACAGCTACTGAGTCTGCAAAATGTAACCCTGGATGTTCCACTGCCATTCCACTGAGAGCTACCACAGTTAGAATCATCACGATGCAAACCTGCAATGATCAGAGATGCACAGCTTCAGTTTACTGAAAATGCAGGAATTCTGTGAGGATTCTCACACAACTCTCATGTACAATGTGTATTATGTTCAACAGCAGTGAACAGAAAATTGACTGGGACAAGTGAAGATGGAAACAATTCCCTGGTAGCTCAGACACATGGAGCTGATCAGAAGTGGTGGAGTAGGTCTGTAGCAATTCCCTGAGCACACAGAGCTGAGTGCTGGTGTGTTCTCCTGGCATGGATCAGTGCCAAGTCCCAGTGCCCAGCAGGAGCTCAGCACAGCTCCTGCAAGTTCATCTCTTGGAAAGGCACCAACCCTGTTCAGTTCTGTGCTTCCAGAGTGGGTTTTCCACAGCTGTAGCACACTGGACATCAGAACTGCCAGATGACTCTAAACATGGAACCTGGTGTTTCTGTTTCATATCACAGGACTCCAGTAGGAATGGAGCTGTTGTTGTGAGGACAACATGGAAAATGTAACCTCAGAAGTATTTCTTCATTTCCTGGAAGTTGAAGTTTTCTGCTCCTCTAACCACTTGTGACCATTCTGCTTTCAAACTGAGTTTTGCAACTGTGACCACTCTTGGGTCCCTGGATAAAAACTCGTGCTTTCAGATTTGGATCTAAAAGCAAACATGAACTTCGTGGCACTGATGCAGTTCTGGTTTAATGAGCAATTCACACCCCCATGTATGATCTTCATAATCCTTAAGGGCAAACCCAGCTCACTGGTAAAGCAGAGAGTGAGACAGTGACACTGGTGTCATCCACATTTATTAATTCATGTTCTGCTTCTCCAGAAGTGATTTCAGCTATTTCTTCACATGTATGAGCACAGGTTTCCCTAAATGAGCAATGGCCCCATGACCCTGAGCAGTGCTGGAGGAAAACACTGCAGTCACTTTGTCACATGCCACTGCTGAGCCTGGAAACATTGGCTTTCAGTTCTAGGAATCAGAAGTAGGGAACATAGGGAATACAGGGAATATCACCTGGTGCTTCCCAGGCATTGTGTCCATTGGTGCTCCCCATGGAGTGGCTGCCCCAGGATTGTGCTGGGCTGGCCCTGACAGGACACCAGGTGCCACCAAAGCCACTCCATCACTGCCTTCCTCAGCTGGACAGGGAGGAGAATACAACAAAGGCTCATGGGTGGAGAAAAGGAATTTCTACATTTGAAACGTTCGACACATCAGTAAAACAGCCTGGAGCACACTGATCCTAAGAGCAGTCAATTCCTTTTCAGTCATGTTTCATGTCCTTTAACAAGGCTGGTTTTAGAAGGGGAAATTATCTGCTCTTCTAAACGTTTGTTTCTGACTCATATATTTCATACCGGGTTTCTCATTCCTTTATTTCTCCTTCAAGTCCCTCTGACACAGCAGGGGCTCCGGGGTGTGTCCAGCTGCTGCACACCTGATGGGTTCTGCTCTGTAAGAGCACCGCCCGCAGTCCCGAAGCGCTCCGGGGAAATCTCTGCAAGCGGAGCTCTCCCCCTGTACCCTGCCCTGACCCCGGGCTGGGCAGGCAGGGACAGGGACAGGGACAGGAGTAGGGGCAGGGATAGGGACAGGGATAGAGACAGGAACAGGGACAGGGACAGGAGCAGGGACAGGGATAGGGATAGGGACAGGAGCAGGGGCAGGGACAGGGATAGGGACGGGGCAGGGGGACAGAGGGAGAGCTGCCACCAAGAGTTGCCTTTGCTCTCCCAGAACTGGGCCTCCCGCGGGCGGGCGGGGGCAGCGGGGCCGGGCGGGGCGGTCCTGCCCGCTCCTGCCCGCTCCTGCCGTGGGACAGGCCGCGCGGCTCTGCCCCCCGGGATGATGCCGGTTATTTATTGCGCTGCCCAGCACGGGCCGGCCCCAGGGCTCGGTGTCCCCTTTCAGCGCCGGCCGCGTGTCCTTGAGGGGGCTCCCGGCGCTCCCGGACACCGCCCGCAGCCCGGAGCCTCCCGAGCACGGCACAAGGAGACGAGGCACTTCTCCTCTGGCCACCTGCTGACCCAGCCCCGGGTTCCCCCTTTCCTAGGCACCGCTCTGTTCTGGGAACAACTGTGAGAACTCTGCCCGGTGAGTAACCACTGCCTGTTCCCAAACCTTCCCCACCGTGACCAAGTGACATTCCCACGCCTGAACGGTGACTTGCTCGTGGCCATCCCTTACAGCTTCTTTTTTGATCTCTAAGACAGTCAGCAACTTTTAAATTTCACTTGGCTGCCCTTGCTCTGTGGACTGAGGTGAATGGTTCTGTCCCAAGACGACTCCCAGGTGTCACTTCTGAGCAGTTTGCAGAGGCTGTCCTGTGGTCAGAGCCATTGTTCTGGCACAGGAAATCCATTGCAGGAGGTTCAGTACACACAACCCTGCTGAAATGGCACAGGAGCTGTTCTCCTCCTTTTGTACTGCACTAGAGCTGAAAAAAGCCATTTCTGGCTGCATTGGAGCTATGGAAAAAATAACGTTAAAATATCTGGGGACACAAGCACTTGTCCAGACCAGCATTTTCAGACAGGCCTCTGCTATGAGGCACCTTTAAATAACAGTTACCTTTAAATAACACTGATTTGGCTTTTTGGGAATCCTGCACGAGTCATTCTCTCTCCCAAGCAAGAGTAAAGCACCACTCAATAAAAAGATTTATTGATTCAGAAGCAACTTTTACAGTGGGATTATTTGCATGTTCTCATCTGGAGTAATGGCACAACCATGAAGAACAATCCAAAGTGGTTTTGCTCTGAGTGCTTTCCCTTTTCCACCCCAGGGAAGTGCATTCCCTGTCCTACATGCACTGTTTAAATGAGTGAATCATCTGCCTTCCTTCACAGATGCCCTCAGAACATGTCTGATTGGACAAGTCTGTGGTATGTCTGGTAAGTTGGCTTTTAATCTTCCTAACCCAGCAGCATTTGGCAGTTTTGATGAGCAGCACAGGATCAGGGAAGGGTTTCTCTGTTTTCAGAGGAATGGCCTGGATGAGGCCAGGGGAGATTGGGTGTCAGGTGGGGACCAGCATTCACTGAAGGCTGTGTCATCTTTCCCTTCTGAGTACTCTGGAGTTGAACTCCAGGGCTTGTTTGTTCTTCCTAAATAGCCAGAGCCTTGCTGGCTCTTCTCACAGGGCAGCTTCCAGCAGGGATTTGCTGGGCCCTGGCCCTGCCCCATCCCCGGCTCACTCCCTTCTACGGGACAGGGACAGGGACAGGGACAGGGACAGGGACTGTCACCCTCTGCTGAGCTTCCCCTCAGAGCTCCAGGAGCACAGAGCTGAGCACAGCCTGCTGGGAGGGGCAGACTGGGACAAGAGAGAGAGAGGATTCCCAGCAGGATTCATCTCCTACCTTGCACGTGGTCTCGGTGCCCTGACATTGTTTTCACAGTTGCCCTTCTGTCCATACATTGGCTTTGGTGGCAGCACACAGAGGGAGTTGATTACTTCACCTCCTTCAGTCTGGAGCAGTTTTGGTTGATACACAGAGCTGTTTAAAAAGACACAGTTAACAAAAATAGATTGAGAAGGCTTCTAAAAGCCTCCACGAGAAGAGGGGGTTGGATTGAGAAACTGAGGGGTGGGAAGGTGGAGTTTCAGTGGAGAGGGGAACCTGAAACACAGGTATATCAGTCTAGCTACATTGTAAATTGTTAAATTATTAACCTCCTTAAGCAATAGCTAGAGATAGAATTGTGTTTTCAAGGCATAAATATAATTTAATATAATATCATTTCCATGCTCATTTATAAAGAGAGAGCCTAGACTTGTGGAAATTCATTTTTCTATTTCCCTCCAAGTACAAACCCTCTCTTGCTGTGGAAAGCAGAACCATTCTCCCTGCACAGAAGTTGAAAATAAGCAAAAATAGTGAAATGTTACTGCACCTGTGAGCCAGAATGGGTTGTACTTACAAGCAGTAGTTCTTCAACTCATGATGAGTGTTAATGATCCAACTTTCTAATCCAGGATCCAGCACCCATTCAGAACTCAAGCAAGGAGGCTTGGCCTGCCTTCTGACCATTTTCAGTGAAATTATATTCTGGTTCAGAAGCAGTAAAACATAAGCAGTGGAATGGAGGTGTTTCCCCCTCTTTCAGGCTGATCTTGCTGATGGTGTTCCTGCTCCTGCTCTGCGGGGTCTCAGCGAGCTGTGTCAAATTCTGCTGCCGGAAGAAAAGGCTTCCAGTGGAGACCTTCCCTCGGCACCCTTGTGAGCTGACAGTGATTGGCATTGACAGTGACAGCACTGCCCACAGCACAGTGACCTGTGAGTATCCTGGTGGCACCTCCTCCACGGAGCACTGCTCCTGGGCCTGTGCCTGGAGCTGTGTCCAGCCCCTGCAGGAACAGGAATTCCCAGTGAGCTCCCAGAACAATTTCCAGCCCCACAGGGTGGGCACAAGAGGGGAAGGGAGGGATCAGGGTGACAGTGAGTGACACTGAAGACCAGGAGTGACTATATGGACAGCTTTAGTATACAGTGCATTTGTTCTGAAAACACAAAAGTCTGTAATTTCCTGGAAAAAAGCAGGATTAGCGCTTCATATATCAGTGTCCCATGCAGGTGTTTAATTTTTATTTTTAATTCTTTTTCTTCACAGCATACAGCTCATGGCAGTACCCTCCAAGTGTCCAGATTCCCTTGGTATTTGTGGATATGGATAAGAACACTGTGTCCCCTCCAGCCTACAGCCTCTATGCCATGGACCTGCCACCTTCCTATGATGAAGCTGTTCAAATGGGAAAGCAAGTGGCACGGACAAACCAGAAACTTGATGACATCCCTGAACAGGTGACATCACGTGGGCTGAATCCCAGCCAGTCCCCACCTGACACAATCAACAGAGATCCAGCAACACAGGCAAATTCAGAAGATTCAGAAGATGCCAGGAAAGAACAGCCACAGGTCTGACTCAGTTCAGATGGGGAGAAAAGTAAGGGAAGGACTGTAAGAGTTAAAGAAGACATGAAGAGTTTGGGTTTCTAAGTAGGTTATGATGGAAAGATATTTCTTCTCATGCCCTTGTAATGATTTGTCAGAAGAAATGTTTTCTGTGACTGCTGTAATCCCCTGGTAAAGCTTCTTCAAGGATATGAAATGAGGTAAAAGGGCAGCAGTTTAAAAATGCCTGTAAAAGTGGGACGTGAATGCGTGTTCATCTTCTGATAAAAAAATTGTTCCTTGTGTCCAGCAATAAAAAAGGTCAGGAGAATTTTGCCACCTTGGGAATACACACTCAGAACAGCACAAACAGGAAGCTGTTGTACTAGAACAGAAGTTTCCCAAGCTGGAGTGTTGAAGGGGGAATCCCAGCAAGTGACACTGAACAACCTCTGTGGTTTCTCTTCTTTTGAGAACACCAACTGCCCAGGAAACTGCTGAGGACAAAGTGCTGCACAGTGGCTCGTGTTCCTCAAGGAGCAGGAAGATGCCAGGACAGGAGAGCGTGGAGGGAAATGCTTTGTGCTGTTTCACACCTGCACAAAGGGAATGAGGCAGATGAGACACGACACTTCTGTGCTGGTGGTGGTCATGAGACCCCAAGGGATTGTTTTTGAGGTTCTATAAATCTTTCCATTTCTATTTTTCGAGATGTGTTGCCTTGTGGGTGGGTTCCCTTTGCTATTTATTTTTTCCAGATAAACTACACATTAATTCCAAAGAGACACCTGCACACATGGTTTGGTATTATTGATATTTCAAATATTCATCAAGTATTTCAAATATTTCAAAGGTACCTTTATATTTTGTTATCTGCTCAGGTGTCAGGGTCTCAGGCAGCACAGGAAAGAGAAATCACAGGTTCCTGGCAGCTTTTACCAGTTCAGCACATGGACAAGCTCAGGAATGAGCAGGGTGACACAAAACATGCTTGTGCTGAGCCATCCAGAATAAGTTAGAGATACAAATACCACAGTACAGGCTGGGCAGAGGTTCAAAGAAAATACTCTTAGGGATGGCTCTTCGTGAAGTACTGATAGAGGGATAACTGCTGAGCATCATTTTAGATCTGGGAGCTTGGAGCTGATTACAGCAGTAGCAGCCCAGACAAAAATACGGGCTCCAGAGGAAGGGTTTTTAATGCCAGCTCTTTCCCATATTCCAAATGGTCCAAATTTTGTCCACTCCTGAGCAGTGATTTTCTTTGAATCCACTTTATCAAGGTGCTAATCTGGCTGCTTTAAGGACATGAGCAATTGCCAGGGTGGCTCATTGCTCTGGGTAAGAGCAGCAAGCAAAGCCTGAGCACTCGGTGCTATTAGTGAATGTAGCATAAATTTAGGTGTCTGTCATTAACAGGCAGCAGAAGTGGTGGGCACAAAAGCCTGCACAGCTTTTAGAAGACTGTTATTTTCTGACAACCATTACTGCAAGAAGTGCCCTGGAAATGAGCAGTAATGATTTAAAAATGAAGATCTCTGCCAGCCACAGGCCCGAGATGCTGCTGCAGAGTCATGTGTGAGCTGTCCATGACTCTGGCTCCCCAGGGAAGGGTCACTTCTATATTTAACTTGCATGTAACTTACTATGAGGGTTGACTGGTGCAACAAATCTGCTTCTCTGTGTCTCCTCTCTGTCATCCTTCATTATATTTCTGACGTTTTATTCTTTCCTTATCTGTGTCAAGATGGAGGCTGGGCACAAGCCAGGGTAACTATTTGGATGTCTCTGGCTGGAAGGGCAATATATGCCCAATTCTGGATGTCTCCAAGCCATAAATACAACAGATGTATTTTTATTTATTGAACTTTTCCACAGCACTCAGAACGAAGCCTCTGCCCTCCCGAAGAAGGAATTAACGCCGGAGGGAAATGGCTGAGCGCTCCCTCCCAAACAGAGACGGGAATTCAAAGGCAGGCGAGGAAAGCACCGCGGCTGACACAAGAGGGCAGTCCCTCCCTTCTGGCTGTGCAGCAGCAGCAGAACCATGGGCTGCAGTGCCCTGCCTCGTGCCCTGCAGCGCTGCACGGGACCTGCCGGGCTGCCAGCTCCCTTCTCCTTGGTCACGGGAGATGCCAGACCCCAGGATGCCTGTGAGTTCCTAGGAAAAGGCATCACCTGGTGTTTCTTCTCTAGCACTTAAGGAAAAATCTTGTGTTTTGCACAGGTTCTTGCCTTGTAATGTAGCTCATTAATTCAGAAATTGTTAACTGCCCCAATCAGCCCTCAGGAACACAGACTTCCCTCTGCACACAAAAGCAGTTTGCTGTGTAACCTTCTAAGTTAGGAAATTAATACAGGCTTCCTTCTCCAGAGCCTAAGGGTGATGCCATGCTGGAGTCCTTCTTGCAAGGGAGGGTTGAAGAGATCCCTCATCTCTACACAGCTTCTGTTTCATGGAACAGGTAGAACTTCACATTTTTGAAACCTACAGTTCTCTATGACTTTGCTTGAAATCGGTCAGTGGATTCAGAAGTTATGAGTTGGGTGTGCAGAGTGGAAGGAAGGTAAGCAGAACACGGATTTGGAATTTGTGATTCCAAAGCCTTGCTTCCAGAAGAAAGCAGTTTTAAAAAGAACACCAGGGGGAGGCTGGTCCCACAGCAGGGTAGAGGCTTGGCATGATGCAGGATCTCAGAATTCTCATTTGTCAGGCTGGTGGTTTTCACCAGCACTAGATCTATTCAAGTCTGATTATATCCACACAAGCTTTGTGACATCTCTAAGGGAAAAGCCCCTCTCTGTAATTACCCAAAGTGCATTTTTAATTGTGATTTCTATTCGGTCCTCAGTTTGGCACTGTTCAGCATGCAATTTCTCTTCTCTCATTTGTTCAAAATGATCATTTTGTCAGTTATTTTCTGCTGTTCTTTGCTGGCTGTGTGAAAGAGCTTGTGCTGGGGAGATGGACTGCTGAGGCTGGAGCCTCCATCACTGTCTCTCCTCTCACACATGCACTCGAGCACTTGTGCTCAAAAGGAAAATGCAGCCATGGAAGTAAATTTTCTCAATAATTCATGGGCTTTATAGCCCAGAGCAAATTATACCTTGGCTCTGTCATGAATCTCAGGCTGCAAATCCCTTTATAGCCAAGCTCGTTAACAACAGAAGTAAAGTGGTACCTCTAGAATGGCTTTGATAATTGATGCATTATAATCTTTGGAGAGTATTTAGTGGTAAACCTGCAGCATCCAGACTGAGCCATCAGTGGGGTCTGGATGGAGGAAAAGTCAGAGAAAAAACCATTTCTTTGTTTGCCTCGCAGTTGCCTTTGTCTGCCTCAAACAGCTCAGGTTTGGTTGCTTTGTTTTCTAACTCATTTTGTCTTTATCAGCTGCAGTTTTTGAGGGAAAAGGATCACTGCTGCTGCCAGGACAGATGAGTGGGACACTGGAGGCAAAACCTGCTCACTTATGGAACAAAATATCTCTGCTACAACCACTCTCCATACTCTTGGCTGTCTCCTGGTTCTAATCCTCTTTACCTGTTAGAACTCTTTTTGCTTAGGGAGACACTGACTAATTTTGCTGCAAGTAGCAGAGGTTCTTTCCTTCACCCACAATTAAAATTCAAACTGCAAGAGAAGCCTTGGAATCCTTTTCAGAGCAGAAGATGAAAACAAAGTATCACAGGGGAATTGTGCTCTTAAAACTGGAGAAGACAATAAATGTTTTATGAAATTCTACATCCTAAGGTCAAACTCAATGCAAAAAAAAATTGCTTAGGTGCAAACCCACATTGCTGGGAAAACATTTTGTTCTGGTCAGTCAAAATTTAGAATATAAAATGCCAGACTGCTCTCTTTTTATCTTACTGGAAGGAAAAAGGGGCCTGTAGAAAAGAATGCAGACTTTCAAAGATATTTCAATTTTTTTTTTTAAATAACAAAGCTCACCTTGGGCACTCAGAGAAAGGAGCAAATCAATTTCTATTTCAAACATAGAAATGAATCTGCAAACCTGAATCTATGTTAAAGTACTTAACTTTTACTCATTTTTTTTACCCTGCTTTCCCAAGTAGCTCAAAAACGAAACCAAAGAGAAGAGCCTGATGGTGAGCTCTTATTTGTGCATTGGGTTTTTTCCATGCTAGGAGTTTATGGCATAACTGCTTCCCTCCACAAGTGAGGAAGTGCAGTGCCAAGGTCCAAGTACTGACCTGGGAACCCACTTTGGTGACTTTTCTGGCACAGGCTTCCCACACGACACTGGTCTGTAGAACAGGGACGTAGCTCTGCCTTTTCTTGCACAGAATTTGGAGGATGAATACACTGAGCGTGGGCTGCGCTGTCACATTGAAATACAGGTACAGTCAGAGCATGATGAACTTTGTGTGGGACATGAAGTGCAGGAAAAATCCTCCCCGCTCCCTCCCCCTCTTAAGGGGCGAATCTGGAGAAGAAACTCGGGCAAAGTGTGAGATTTAGAAAGAGCCCCTGGACTTCAGGTGCCTCATCACAGCATTCCTAGGTGGGGAGAGAGGCAAGGTTTGCTCTGCTCCACTGGAAAGGTTTCTTTCCCCAAAAATCCTGCCAGGCAGCTGTGCTGAAGGTGGGAGAAGCTGCTCTGCCCCGCACTTAAGGTCACCCCAGCTGGGTTTGAAGGCAATCGAGCTGTGATTAGCCGGCAAAGCAGAAGGCCATAAAAATAAACACTCCGTGTGTGTTTGGAGAAGGTTTCCTCCGCCCTTGGCTGGGCTGCCTGCTCCCAGCAGATGGGGGAAGTGAGCCGGAGTGGCCCCGGTGAAGGTCGGCTGGGCAGACTGCAAGGCCAGCACACAGCAGCAATTACATTTAGTGCGATTATTTGGAGGAAAAAATCATGGTATGCTTTAATTCCTTACTTATTTAGTATATAGACTTTCACCTCTTGATAAAAGGCTCACAGTACCTGCTGTAAAAAACGGAAATTCAAATGGCTTGGGCCATCTGGGAAATAAAAAAGTGTGTGTTTGGTTATTTTCCACTCTAATAATGAGGAAAAAATTCGATGATAATGAGTAGGGTTATCTCTCAACCAAGAAACATCCTGGAGTGGGACAGACCCCAGGTCTACCACAGATCCTGGGCATCTAGATAGCTTTCAATGTCTCTGCCTCTATTTTCCATGGATAAACAATTCTAGGATGCAGAGGTTGGAAGGGACCTTTGGACATCCCCCAGTCCAGCCCCTGCTGCTCACTGGGGCCTGCCAGAGCAGCTTGCCCTGCCCACTGTGGCTCTGAACCCTCCAAGGATGCAGATCTCACTGCCCCTCTGGGCAACCTCTTCTACTGTCTGACCCCTTATAGTGAAAATAGGAAATTTTGGATTGTTGGAGTGGAATTTCCTGTATTTGGGATTGTTCCTACTGCTTCTTACTGTGCAAGCTGGTGCCCAGTGAGAAAAGTCTGCCTCTGTCTTCTTTATCCTTTCCCCCCAGGTGTTTATACACATTTATAGATCCCTCCTGTACCACCTCATCCTGAGGCCAAAGACTCCCAGCTTGCTCATCCTTCCCTCACACGTCAGACGCTTCCATGCCTTAATCATCCAAATATTTAACTCCATCTTTTCTCCAACTTGTCTAAACCATCCAGGAATTTCCCCTGAATCCCAGCGTGCCGTTTAATGGATTTCTCCTGCCTGTGCAGTAAGGAGCTGCAGAAAGCAGAGCGTGAAGTCCCCCGTGGATGCCTGTCCCTGTGCCTCTGCCCTGGCTGGCGGCGGTGCCACCTGGGCACGGG